CTTAAAACTGCCATAACTTTTTCAAAAATGAACAAATAAAAATAATATTTTTTTGTATTGAAACCTTAGATATTTCCCTTTCATTTGATATAATTTTTTTTGAAAATCTACCACTTATTCTGTTCACTGGGGGGATTTAAAATAGTAACTTTTTTACAAACAATAACTTTTTCAACTTAATTTTTGAAAATGTTCCGGAAATACTGCGTCCTTTAAACATATATAAAATTAAAGCTTATTTTATGTACTACAAAATGAAAAAAAAAATTTGTCCCGACGACCTATCTTCTATACGCAAATGACTGCCGTATTCAAAAATATGCTATTTTTGTATTAAAATTATGGGTTTTGTATTTTATTTTAATAGAAGTTGATGTTGATTTTGCAATTATCCATCAATTTTTTAAAATTAAACACTATCTACAGATTTGCATCGAAGCGTTTCTTATGATAGTGATTTTAATCACTTTCAGATTAAAACTATACTGGATCCAACTATGCAATGTCTCCACTATGCCGTGACCCCACTATGCTACCGTTTTTAACCAAGTATTTCATTTATCATTAATTATTTTTAAAATTTTTAATTTTAAAGGGTAGATCCATGCCCTAAGTTGAAATTTGGAACATGATGGATTTATTGAGTTCTAAAAGATATAATAGTTTTTGCGAATTCTCTTCATCATCAATTTGAACCTTGTGATAAAAGTATTTTTTTCACGTTTTTCCTTCTAAAGTCAATTCATGTAATTCTGTGCACTCATTTAAGATTAATAAGTCAATTATCTGTGGTACGGAGAAGCGAGGATCTGATAAGACTCTAATAGACATAAGAAACACGCAGCTACTATTAAGTCGAATGCCTGATAGTTTAATCGTAATGCGCTTAGCTACTGTTACGTCGCTCTTTAGGGGTTTNCACCAATTGTTACGTCGCTATTTAGGGGTTTAGCCTAAATGCCCGTCGACAGTATTCTAAGGGACCAACGGGGGATAGCTGGCTAGGCTATATCTACCTTAGGTACTGAAGTTTCCTATTTAATTTATATTCCCTTGGAGGAACTACCAAGGGTCGTACTACATTATATATATATATATATATAACACTTTAGGTTAACAACGATATAAATAAATATTTATTAAACAATTGAAATATTAAATAGATAATACAACTTGCTGGACACCTAGAGATGATATAATCCAACAGGGAGATGACGGCGACACACACACACACTATAATATACGGGGTAGCAAGTTAAGTTAATTATTAGACAAGTAGTGATCGCGAAGATGGTAAAAGGTCAACTGTCGATAGGGATATCTTATTATTAGAGCACATTGGCCGTGAATTGCAAAAAGTGTTTATGTGTGCAGTCCACCCTCCTTTTAGTATTGTTGTATGTAAAATCAGTACCATATATTTGATTATAAAGTTACTCTGTAATGTAGAGTCCAGTAACACTCAACACTGCTCCCATTCACCACGATTACTTTTGACAAGAACAATTGCTGTTGGTAATAATATGGACGTAGCAGCCGGTTAACTTGCATGTGCACTAACGTTTGCTAATTCATTTTGAGTTATTTGTTCTGATTCGATATTTTCCGAATTTTCCGATACGTTTGCTACCGAGTTGAACTTTGCCTGATCGGTCTGTCAAAATAAGTGTAACAGTGCATTATGTTGTTTGCCACAGTTAAAATAGCCGCGAGCCAAATATGTTTTCTTCGGGTTTGTCTGTAGACAATTTCTACATAAATTGCGTTAAACTACCAACAATGCTAAGAGACTAGGGCATCGATACATCGAGTGATTTGCATGACAATTAAAGTATTTTTTGTCCGTGATTGTAACCACATAAGCATTGCTACGTATCGAAGGATTTTTGTTAAATTGACTATAAGAAGTCGGCACTGTAGTTTTTCTATAGTTGATTGTTTTAGACGATTCAATCGCTTCTATTATTATAAATCGTTTTTTTTTTAATTTAATCAATTAGATAACTCTAGTAAGATTATTGTTTGGCTGACAACTGGCCATTAGTATGAATTAATGCAGAAAAGATATCACGATGTAGTCCATTGCTTTTAGTGGCCATGAATTGTTGGGATATCTAGCGGGGCTAATATTTTAATTGGCATTGCTACTGTTGAAAGTGTTGTGGTAGTGTTCTCTACAACAGCGTTTTACGCTTTGCTGAATGCCCAACTCAATTCAGATACCACCTTCTCCGCAATTGTACTGACTTTAAAATGTTTGTCTTCAAAATCAGTTCTATAATGTTGCTGTTCCTCTACGTTTACTCTTTCAAGCATGTCAATTTCCGACTGTACTTGGTCGTCCTTCATTCTCCCTCAATTTTTTCTCGTCTAAGCCGAACTTCGATTAAGTCCGACTTTTTATCCTAAACAAATTTTAAGAATTTGGTCAATATTGATTTTAATTGACCTCTTTTTATGCTTAATCGTGTACTTTCAATCTTATGGTTATTTTCAGGCATAGTTTATTTTGGCATTTACTCATAATAAATTATTATTGTTTCTAAATAAACAAACTGATTCAGCTAGTCGTTAATAATATGAATATATACATTCTATTATCTGTCAGACAGCGTCTGTGGAAATCTGAGTAAAGTACAAATTTAATGACTGTACAACAATAGTTGTTGTACGTAAATATAAATCGAAACATAAATATTGCGCACGGGTTTTTTGTACACTTAACTTTATCTACTTCACAATACCTATGACGAAACCCAAGCACTTAAACGATTTTTAAATTTAAATACGTTAATAATACATAATATAGTATTATATCCTGCGTATAGCGATCGCTGCAGTTAAACACTACGTTGGGTAAAAATTAACCTTTTTCTAACTCGTGTAATGTTGCAGAATTTGACTAGTTTTTTTATAAATCTTATCAATTAGAGGTGTGTGCAGTAGGTGTAAAGTATTTTAATAGTTGTGTATGTGATAATCTCCACTAGTCAACTGGTCTGATATCTGTGCATCTGTACCAATATTGTTGTATTTTCCCCCAATGAACGTGTTAAAAGTTGGCATCACCACCACCCGGCGTCACAATCACCAATCACTATAAATGCCGTGACGACGGGATTTTTCTTCTCAACTATACTACCGAGGCGACAAGTTGCCTGTCAATATGAATATATTTTTATTTAGTTGATCATTTTATTGAGTAAACTTTCTATTAAATATTTCTTTCTGTTATTTAAATTTTATTATAGTAATTTTTTTATTGCTATTTTTAATGAAAGGTGCAGGAAAAAGACAAACTAAAGTTTCTGACAGATATAATCTTAGTGTTTCCTATCCCCCTCCTTCCATATTACCTACTTTTAATTTATCTCTTAATATTTCTGACAACGAGGATAATATTACTATTCATTCCACTTCTCCACCTCATGATGATCCTCATTCTGACCTTCGTTCCCTTTTAATTGATTTCCAAAAAACAATTTGAAGAATCCCAACGACAATGCCAAAAGTCTGTTTTCGAACGTGTTAAAAGTTGGCACCACCACTACCCGGCGTCACAATCACCAATCACTATAAATGCCGTGACGACAGGATTTTTCTTCTCAACTATACTACCGAGGCGACAAGTTGTCTGTCTGTATATTTTTGTTGTGAAAACCACATTTTTTTTTTGTACATTTATTTTTTTGTCCTCCGTTTTATTATTAAAATAAAACGTTGAGTTGATCTGCCATCTACTTGTGGTGTCGACCAGGCTGTATTTTTTTTGTCCTCTATTTTTTTTTTTAAAATAAAACGTTGAGATGCCAATAATTATGATGTGAGGCGCAACTATGGCCGGTGGTGGGCCGTAACTCCTCAAGAAACAATCAACGACAAGTATCAACATGAAACCCCCCTTTTAACCCCCTTTTTTAATTTTGTGTATCTAGCACAATAGGGATCTCCCGGAGTGCAGCCAGCTAGTGGATGAGATTCCTTCAAACGAATCTCAACTACTGTCAAGCTGCCCAGGACCTGGTCCAACGGGCGGCATACAAGGTGGGCATCGACGTATGCATTATCTCGGACCCATACGCCAGATTGGTCTGGGACTCTACCAGTTGGTTTTTGGACCGGTCCGGCATAGCGGCGATCGGCGTGATGGACCAGGACCTAACGGTCGCGGACATCGAGTCGGGCGACGGTTACGTAGTAGTGAGGATAGACGGCATCGACGTCTTAAGCTGCTCCGCGCCGCAGGTCACCGTGAGTGAAGCAGCGGAAGAATTGAACCTGGCGCAACTATGGCCGGTGGTGGGCCATCACTCCTCAAAAAACAATCAACAACAAGTATCAACATGAAACATTTGACTTTTTTATATTCTATAGAATACAGCCAAAAAGGCATCAAAGAAAAAAGGGGGCCTGGTGAAAAGAGGATAATCGCAAGGTACGACTTCGCCCTTCCGGCCAAACGTCAACCGTCAAATCGCGTTCCGCCAGTCCACTGGTGGAACGGGTAGACGGAGGCCAGGCGAATAGCGCAGTCACCGCCTGAATACAGCAGGAGGAGGGTGGACTGAGCCTAGCCCTTGAAATTTAATAATAAAATATAGTAAATATGATACATATTTTATCTGAATATTATAAATTAAACATCACTTTATTTATAATAATTTAAACAATTATGAATATATATATTATAGAACAAAAAGTTATAATAACATTTTATAAACTATGAGTTGAATTAATTGTCTTTATCATATTCATTGTATTCAACGTCTTCGTCGTCTTCAATAATCGGCAAAAAGTTTCCAACCAGATCTGAAACGAAATAAAATTGTAAATTTATTTTCATTATACTAATATTTGATATCCCCCCCCCCCCAAAAAAATATAAGTAGG